TCCCCCTGAGTGGCTGTGTGTGTCACAAGTGACTGCCTCCCAACAACTATGCAACGTTCCCAAATTATGCAGCGTGTAAATATTAGATATTTTAGTTTAGATAAGTAAATATTAGATATTGTAAATAATATCACAATGCTTTCCTGATACAGAGTAGCATAGTTTTCATGGCAGTCAGGTATATAGAAAAATGTTACTGTAAAAAAAGAACTGTTTCTAGGGTAAAATCTCTTTTCTCAGGGCTGGAAATATGGCTCAGAGGTTAAAAGCACTGGCTGCTCTTCCAGAGGACCCAGGTTCAAATCCTAGCACCCACATGGCAGCTCACAACTGTCTGTAACTCCCTTCCAGGGAATGTGACACCACCGAGGAGGATACCATGTATACACATGGTGCTCACGCATACATGCAGGCAAAACACCCATGAACATACAATCAAAATAAATACTCTTTTAAAATTTTCTTTTCTCCCCCAGCTACCCCAGGAGTCTGTGTATCTGCTTCCCTGCGACTGCACATGACAGGATCCATGTTCTTCTAGGCACAGGAAGGGTCTAGAAAATCCCCCCCAGGCAGCAGTGAGCTCTCCTTGTGAGCAGGAGGCCTTCACCGCTTTACTGACTTGGCACCGCTGTGTGTTTCACAATGAGCATGTTCCAGTTGTGCCATTGGCAAACGGTGGAGCAAGAAATAATAACAGCTGTCCTTTACTGAGTGTGCAATGCAAGCTAGACACCGAATTAGGTCCTTTATGCCCACCACAGCACCCCAGCCTCCCCGTGGCTCTGTGAGACAGGACGGTGATTACAGGACTGGGTGAAGGGACCGAGGCTTAAAGTGTTGTTAAGTGGTAGAGCCAGCATCTGAACGCAAGACCCAACGCGAAGCCAAGTGCTCATTTTCTCACGGGGGTCATTTCTTTTTTGCCAGTGCCGCAGAAAGGGCGCTGTGACCAGTCACGGGGAGGGCACCGACTTAACCTGAGCTGCTTCGAAGTGGAGAAAATGCTGCCCAGGCTTCTTGCTAACTCTGCTGAAGTTCCGTCTGCCACGTCCTATCTCCAGGCCCCTCCCCCTGCTCCTCGGTCCTCACCATTCTTGGCAATGATCTCCCCATGTGTGAATTCCATTAAAGGCCTGCTCATTGCTATTTCGGGCTGTGCATTAGCAGCAGGACTTTGATTTGATGGGGAAAAAGCCAGACACCTCGGAGTGATGAAAAACAAATTTCAATATCCTCCTGCTCACCATCATCCCAGAAGCCCTTGCCCATGGCTCCTGGGAGGCCAAAGCATCCAACGTGTGGGGGATGCTGAAATCGTCACCATCTCCGGGACCTCTGAACTTGACTATTCCCTCCTGAAAACCGGCTCCTGTTTCCCTCCTTCAGGTCGCCACTCCAATTCCCCAAGGTCATTCCTGAATACTGTTTATCAACACCTGCTCCCTCCCACCCCCTGCTCTTCCTGAGCCCCCAGTGTTTTGCTTCCTGTATACGGTTCTTCCCGTCAGATACACTGTACACTAACTGTTCACTGGTTTTCCCTCCCGCTACGCTGGTAGAACTCTTCTTCCCACAGTTCCATCCCCCAGCACCTACACGGTTCACGGAGCATCACAGGTGACCACAGGTTGGAAGAGCAAAGGACTCTACCAAGAGAGTCAAGGAACACAGGGCTTGGGAAGTTCCTGAGCTCAGGGCCTAGATTCCCTAGACGCCACTGCAAGAAAGAACTGTTAACATAGTAACTTGAAAACTCAGGAAAAAAAAAAAAAAACAAAACCGTCTCCTTGCCGCAGAGCTGTTTTGAATCTAGGCTGGCCGGCTCTGAATGGGCCGGCTTGGGGAAATAAACTTACCAGGAAGTTGTGTGCAGTTGGAGTCCAGTCAGCTCCGTAACACGTGTGCACAAACAAAAAGCCCCATTTGGATGAAAATAGCAGGAAGTCCTTCCCCAGGGACACCTGGTGAGGTCACAGGCCTTGGCTTTGCTGCTTCCATCCCAGTCAGGTCTCCAGGCTCCAGAACTCACTGGGGCCAGGAACCGTCTCTAAACCCTCAGGCCTCCCCGGGAGTTGCTGGCCAGGCCCATACAGCAGGGCACACCTGTGAGAAATCCCCAGCGCTTCAGTAAGGGTACTAAAAGCCACAACAGGGGCCTGCTCAGTAAAGTTTTGCTTTCCTGAGCTCAATCCTAGAAACCACATTAAAAGCCAGGCATGGAAATGGGTCCTAGTAATCCTAGAGATACAGGCAGATCCCTGGGCTAGCCAGACTGGAGTAAACTCCAGGCCAATGAGAGATCTTGTTTGAAAATGAGGTAGGCAGCGTTCCTGAGGAGTGACACCTGAAGTAATCAATCCCCTGACCGCTGAGCCTAGGCGTGCATGCGCGCATGCACACCGTACGCATGCGCACTCAAATTTAAAAAAGTTTAAAAAAAAATCACCCTACCCGATATTTCATGTGATCACAGCATCCATCCCTCACAACCAGCCCCACGAGGTGGCCGTGACTACCCTCGTCTCCGTCTCAGCAGCTGGCCCTGAGTCACATGTCACAACTTCAGATCCAAGCCATCAACATAACCGATTTCCTCTCAGCCACTTCACACACTTGCTGAGAGACTTTAGGCAAGCGCCTGTCCCTTTCCGGCCTGAGGTTTCTGTACCTGTGCAGGAGACTGCAGCATTCCGTGCGTGGCCTCTAAGATGTCTTTCTGGCCTAACTTCTTGAGATCTTTTGCAGAAGTCCCAACACAGAAGGAAAGGACAAGGACTGAGGATCCCCCGCTTGGCTGATCCGGCTAGGGATCTGCCCCTGACCACATCATCAGTTCCACTAGCTGGAGGGAGGTTAAGGGTAACAAGTTCCATGCACGGTAAACCACACAGACACAGGTGACAAGGAGCAGAGGTAGTAAGGAACCAAAGCATATCCCTGAGAGAGACCCAGCATAAGCGAGCCTGCCCTGGGCCTTTTTTAGGATCACAGCGTCAAATTCAAAGAGAAGCCCTGGGCAAGGAGGAACTTCCCACTCCAGGAACCCAGGCCTATCCCAGGGAGAAGAATGAGAGAAACATTCTGGCAACCCAGAAGAACACCGGTTTGGCTCAGGGGCCCAACATGGTGGTTATGCTCATCTTCCTGGTGTACTGAAAGCCAGTGTCCCAGAGGCAGAGGGAAGAGGGGGACAGAGCAAGCCCTGTGTTATGTAGCAAGTTCCTCCATAATAAACCCCAGCTCTTTAAGACATAGGGTGCTTGCGCTAGAGCAGTGGTTCTCGACCTGTGGGTCATGACCCCATTTTGGGGGGGGGAGGTCACAGATCAGATACCCCGCGGATACCCCGCGCGTCATATATTTGTATGATGATTCTGAACAGTAGCAAAATTACAGTTATGAAGCAGCAATGAAATAATTGTATGGTTGGGGTCACCCCAACATGAAGAACTGTATTATAAGATCGCAGCACTGGGAAGGTTGAGAACCCCTGCTCTAGAGGGGGTGAAAACATCCCATTCTGCTGGGAAGTTCATTAAACTGAAGAAGTAAACGACTAGAGGCTTCCAGGAAGTCCCTGAAACTGACCAGAATTGGTAGGTTCCCTCCCTCCTCAACTGTATATAAGTAGTAAGGACTAGCTCCCTCCCAGGGCTCAGCCCCGCCTAGCCATCTGGATGCTGCTCAGAGCATCTGAGTGAGCTGCCTGCAAGCAGCATGCAATGAACTCTAGACTTCCAGCTCTCATGAGCGGCTACCCATGTTGGGCAGACCTCGGTAAGGCTGCTGTCTTTTGAGTCACATCTGTGCCTGGAGGTAACCCCTCACCCCTGTTACTGTACATAACCTCAGTAAAAATTACTGGTTCGCAGAGTTGGATTTTGGCAGCATCCTTACTTTGGTCTACCACTGGTAAGCAGATGTTTCCTCGCCTCTCCCCAAGAGTAGTGTCACAAAGCCCCCTGTCTCTGCACCAGTGAGTTACCCTTTCACCACACTGGGGACTCCCCTGATCCTTTTCTGTCAGTGTCCAAAGAGCCCAAATTTGGAATAAACCCTTCTTCTCCCTTTCTACCCAGGCCAAGCAGCCATTCCCACCCTTTAGGATGGGGAAGGCCTTGCTCTGGCCCTTTCTTGGCAGCAAGACTTCCATTACTCATCAGCTTCCAGGGTGTCTCGGAGGCTGCCAAGAGCGGACGGGCAGCTCTCCAAGCCAAGCATCCTTATCTCCAGCGTCTGTGTGGACAAGGAAAGCGGGACCATTGGTGGGGGAACCTATCAAGGCCCTCGGAGTCCCTGGCCAAGTACAGAACGGTCTAGGAGGCCAGGTGGAGTGGGGCTGAGGGAAGAAAGGGCAATCAATTGATGGACACAGCCAGGCAGCGCCGGCCATTCATCCCCCTCATCCATGAATCAAGACGGTTATGCCGGAAGGCAAATCAATGTGGAGATTTTTCTGAACCAGGCCACCGCCCTGCATGAATGAGGTTAGGGAAAAGCTGGACCCGTGGAAGGCAGGAGGCTTTGGGCAATGCACTTCTCAGCAGAATCTTGGGTAGATGAAAGAATCAGGGTCAGAGGTGCCAAATCCCTGCCCAGCCTGCTGCTTCTCCCAGTCTTCCTCTAATCGCCTTCACTTCCTGCCTTGTCCTGGCTGGAGCAAGGACAGCAGCTGCTTCCAGTCCCTTCCCGCCCTTAAACACACACACACACACACACACACACACACACACACACACACACACACGCCTGCAGTGAACTCCAAGAAGCACCGGAAACACAGCCTAAGGAAATCCAGGCAGGATATGAAGCAGCCCAGCAATCTCCCAGCGACCAAGAGACCAAGGGAAAGCTGTGTCTTGGCACGATGCCCCACAAAGGGACCAAGAATGGAGAGCTTGGGGACCAGGCCACTAAACTTCTTCCTTCCCATCTGTGACACCTGCATCAGACTGGCGTTGAAGGTGAGTGACAAAAGAAGGGAGCCGTTCACTTACTCGTTCTTCTCCAGGTCCAGGATCAGTTCTTGCCCTTCCGCCGTGACCCTGAGCTCCGCTGTGAGTGGATGCTAAAAACAACAATGAAAGGATGTCAGTTCCTGGAAGCAGGGACCGAGGCTCCCAGGGCCCAGCACCAGATCTGATGCTGCGCCAGCAGAGGGATCCTCCGGAAGCCAGCGAGGAAAGGTCATTAGCCTTTCCAGCCTAAGCTTGAAGTGACCTCAGTCCCCAAACAACTCAGATCTTCCCCCATCTGCTTTCCCCTAAGAAACAAAGGATAGAAACCCAAACTGAGGTTCAAGGCTGAGCAGGTTCATATGCAGTCTGCTGAAGGCTCCCACGGAGAGACCTGATGCTCAGAAGTAAATTACCTGGAGGGTCAGACCCAGGGTTGATGCATAGGCTGACATCTGTGCTCCTGTGAACCTGGACATGTCACCAAGCCTCCCTACTTCTCTGTCTCCTCTTTCCTCACCTGAGGTGTTAGTAACCAACATTACAAGGATCCTTAAGGACCAGATGAGAAAATGAATGTAAAGAATGTCCCTAGTTCAAAAGAAGCTCTCAATATCATATTAGCTATCATCTTTAAAAAAAATACTGAAGGGCCTTCTACAGGGTGAGTTCTTTCATATTTTGTTTTACTTTATGTAAGTCCTCAATTTGGAAACTCCAGTCATCTCACAGGTGCCAACAAAGAGTATCACAAATTAGGATTTTATAAGTCCAGAAGTAAATGTATTTTAAACAAACAGCAGCAATTTACTGATGGCCAGACACACCATACACCCAGTACAGATCACCTAAGACATGCAAATAGCCAGCAAGCATGAAGACTATGTTGAAGATCATGGCTACATGGGCAAAATCTCCCTCTCCCCATGCAAAGAAAAGAAAAAGAAGAGAAGAACAACATTAAAAAAAATAAGATATCCTAAACAAAATCAAAAAGGACAAAGACCATTTAAGACTGTACATCACAATGGACACTCTCAGATCCTATGCCTGAGAACTTGCACTGAAACCAACTGTCTGAAAAGTAATTTGACAGTATGAACCAAAAGTTTTTAAATGTGTAAACTAACTCAGCAATATAAGACTGTCTTTGAAAGGAACCAATGAGACTTACTACTTGCATTTTTAAAAAGAAATTTTGCTGTGTATGTGTGTGCTATATGCACGAGTGTGTGCATGCGCTCTTGTGTGCATGTGTGGTGTGTGCATTTGTTGGAGATGAAACCCAGGACTTCAAGCAAACACGCTGCAAACTGAGCCACACCCACAGCCCAGCCTCATTCCCTTTCTCAATTCCTGCTCCTCTCATTCCCTGTTGGGATCTGGGCATTGGACTTTGAGATCACCAAGACCTCTGATGATCAAGTACCTCGTGCAATGCCTACTTCACCCTGTTGCTTCATCTTCAGAAGGGTTTGGAAGCCAGGATGCAGGGAGACAGATGGGTGCCCAGGCACTTTCACTCCTGTCCAGGCTCCATGTCTGAGGCACTGACTCAGCACAAGGCCAGTGCCTGCTGTGATTGCTGCCCGTTTGTGATTTTGCCCTGGGGACTTCTGGTGTGCCCTACCCAGTCACAGGGAGGATCAAGGACACACAGCCCCAATGGGCATTTGAGTACGTGACAAGAGAGCTCCAGAAAATCCTTACCCAAGGGGCAGGCACCCATGTGACAGCCCACACAGAAACCGAAGGCTGGCACAGTGCAAGTGATACCCTGTGCCCCACACAGAGACACAGCCTGCCACATGAGAGCTCATACTTATTTTTGTGTAGGTAATCCAAAAATACTTCTGTTCCTGGAGGGTGCTCAGACAGGCTTAAAATCAGATGTTCCCTGTTTCCAGGGAACAGTTCAAGCAAAACAATGAAATTGCGTTTCTGTGAAGCTTCCCTTCCAACCCTCCTATAGACGGATTCCTCCTGGAACGCCAATACTGCCTAAAGAAGGGTCAACATCACGCCTCCTGGCAAGTATGTGAAGGTGCCCACTGTTTGTACTTCCCTGAAAGAAGGACCCAAAATCCTTTCTGTATAGGGTGAAATTAAACAGACCTCCAGCTCCACGCCATCTGAGAAGCTTATCCTGTGTGCATGAATCATCCTAAAACATTTGTATCAGAGCCCATACATAGTCAGCATGTCAGGAATGACTAATAAATCAGTGAATTACCCACATGTAAGTAAGAATCAGTGAATCAACCCACACTCTTTCTTCTCTTCTCTCTCTCCCCTCTCTCCTGCATTCAACAAATATTTATGGTGCCAGGCACTGGGCTGACTATCCCTGCAGAATACAATGAGCCACGCTCTGGGCAGACAATGGCTGGGAACAAAGACAGGATCTGGTCCTCCACTTTGTTTCTCAGGCTTTTCCTGAGGATGCCCAGCATCCAACATCTGGAGGGAACAAAGGAGCCTCTATAAAAAGTATCATGTCCATTCTTTGGCAATAATGGTGATGGATAAAATATCCAAAACTTTAAATTTAATAAAACAATCTGCCTGAGGATGGTCATCTATTAATTTGTCTAACTTCTCCCGAGGCTATTTTCAGCCTTTCCTACTTTAGGATGGAATGAGTTCATACATTTTTCCCCCTTTGCTTTCAGGGTAAAATGTTCCCTTCTTTTATTGTCCTGAAATTTTTCTGTAAGTCCCCTTCTTGTGCCCAGGCTGGTGAACTGGGGACTCGTCTGTGTGACTCCGCAGTAACTTAAGGAATTCTGGGCATTTCTCATCTGTTTATCTTTCCAGATTCCAAGGCCACAATTGTCCAAGTCTTCCCTGACACTTCTTTCCCCAGCTTTAATCTTGTTCCTATCTGTTGCCCAATAAATTACAGGCCATTTGACCCCCTCGGAGATCATAGAAACCAGTCCTTCAAACCGGGCATGGTAGTCTTTCCCTGTAATCCTTGCACTGGGAAGGCAAAGGAGGAGAGTCTCAAATTGGGGACCAGAGTAGGATGTGTAGCAAGACTCTGCTGAGAAAGAGAAAGTCAGCACTTTTCCAAACCTCTGTTCCTCTTTATTCCTATTAAAACTGATTTTATAAAGTGAGGAAGTGCAAGTCATCCGTAAAGCAGAAGGTCCTGAACTACTGTCACGCAACCATTGGTTTTCCTTCTCTGCCTCGTCACCCCTAACTCGGGCGTTCAGAACCAGAAGCAAGAACACCCAGGGTTCGCAGCCATGTTCCGACTGCCTTGATAGCACCTGTGCATCTTGCTAATGTCCTGGCCTGAGGAGCCCGTAGGGCTTTCTAAAGATATACGACCTAATCCGAGCACCTTAGCTTGCCTCTTATTAAATACGCTGAGCAAGGTGGCGCGCGCGCACCTGTAATCTCAGCATTTGAGAAATGGAGGCGGTCATTCTCAGCTATGTAGTGAGTTAGAAGGTAGCCTGGGCTCCAGGGGGTCCTGCCTCAGAAAACAAAAAGACGAAACAAAACAAAAATGTCCATCAAGATCTGTGACAAAATCACATTTACACTAAATCTGTGACAGTATTTTTTAAAGATTTGTGTGTGTGTGTGTGTGTGTGTGTGTGTGTGTGTGTGTGTGTGTTTTGCCTGCTCATCTATCTGAGCACTGTGTGCATGCCGGGTACCCTTTCAGAGGCCAGACACCTTTGGATCTCCTGGAACTGGAGTTACAGATGGTTGTGACCCACTGTGTGGGTACTGGAAACTGAACCCCAGTCCTCTACAACAGCAGAAAGTGCTTTTAACTGCTGAGTCATCTCTCCAACCCCAGTTTTGTCATGATTACTGTGGGTTTTCAGCTACCCAACTGAAAGGGCTTGGGAATGATCTACACACTTGTCATACAGTGAAGGAAAGCCCCTGCTAAGATATCCCAAACTGGCTCAGAGAAAGGTTAGGACAGAAGCTGTGGTGATGCCTAGGTGGCCCCATGTCATTCCGGCTTCTCCATCAGAGTTACTTGGAAGGCTTACCTTTCCTCTCCTGGGGTTTTCTGAAGTCCGCCACTGAGGTATTATGAGTTCATGCTGTGGCTGGGGCCCGCCTTCTTTGCTTCCATCTGCCAACACAAGACAGCATAACCCTAAGAATTCCAGACCTCCACAGCTCAGACCCTCAGTAGAGGGCATATGGCTCGAAACCCAAGTACTGCTCCAGCCCACTTCTGAGGCAATCCTTGCTTCCTGGAAAGTGTCTGAGACCTGCTGGGCTCTCCTGTGCCTTGGTGACAAAGTGATAAAGACAGCAAACAGGGTCTGTGTCCTTGCCAAGAGACAGGAAATGAGCAGACATTCTCAGGTGATGGTAACTGCCTTAGGGAAAAATAAGACGATGTCACCAGATAAAGGGACACCTAGCAGGAGTCCTGTTTTAAACAGGATGGTCAGTACTGATGGTGTTTAATTGAGACCTCAGGAGCCAAAGGAAGATAGTTGTGGAAAAAAAAAAATTGGGGAAGAGCAAAGAGTGGCAAGTGCAGAAACGGCCTTGGCCTTGAAAAGGAACGAGCAGGAAGGGGAAACAGTCTAGTAAGTCAGAGGACACGGGGAAAATATGCCAAGCAAGGAAGGGAGACACTTTAGTAAATCAAAGGATGTTGGTAAGAAACATGCTAAGCAAGCCAGCTGGGGGTGTAATGACACAAAGGCATGAAGAGGGTCTGGATTTTTATTTTAAGTAGACTCAGAAGGTTCTGGATGTCTTAAAACACAAGAGCAATAGGATCTGTATTAGTTTTCTTTGCAAAGATGACTCTGGGCGGAGAGTGGAGGGTGGGGGTAAGGACAGAATGGAAGCAGCAGGCAGGCAGCAAGGCTGGAGGCACACAGGAGCCCTGGTGAGAGGTGACGATGGCTCCCACTTGGACAGCATCCTAGAGAGTAATGATGTGGTGAGATTCTGGGTATAATCAGAAGGTTGAGCTCACGCTGGCCTCCACAGAGCTTTAGAGATGACTGTCACCTCCCTGGGAGGTCTGACAGGGCCACAGGTAAAGGTGACATGGCCCCCCACCTGCAAACCATTAGCGTTGAGTTGCACATCGTTAACCTTAGCTGTCTTCCCTGCAAGTTTGCAGTTGTATTTCATTTCCTAGTCTCCTCCAAACCTTCTCACACCAGTTCTCTCTTCTCCTCGCCACCCTTGGAGGTAGCCAGCCAGTTCCCAAGAAAAGAGGCCCCTTTCAGCCATAGAAGAGTCGTTTTCAAGAAAAAGGGAAACCTTGCTGGGTGGGTGGTGGGGTGGCACACGCCTTTAAACCCAGCACTCAGGAGGCAGAGGCAGGTGAAGCTCTGTGGGTTTAAGGCCAGCCTGGACTACAGAGGAGTTCCAGGACAGCCAGGACTGTTACACAGAGAAACCTGTCTTGGAAAGACAAAGTAAAGAAGGAAGAAAGGAAGGGAGGGAGGGAGGGAGGAAGAGAGAGAGAGAGAGAGAGAGAGAGAGAAGGATGGGAGACCTCAACCTAGTTACAGATCAAGCATTTCCTGGTTCCTAAGCAAATGAAGTCTCTGAAACAAGGTAAATCCAAAGAATCCCAGGGATGTAGCGGAACACTCCAATGTTCTGTCCCTTCTAGTCCAATCGCATCAACCACATGAGTAGTATAAAAGATGGCTGTGCTGGACATTGTGGTACACATCTGTAATCTCAGCAAGAGGCCTTCCTTGGCTATAGTGAGCTCCAAGACCGCCTAGAGCTACACAGCATCCTGTCTCAGGGAATAAATTTTAAAGGTGGTAGGAGTGGTGGGGTTACCATTGATTAAATTTCTTTTCAGATGACTAATGTGATATATTTGCAATCAGAACACATCCTTAAAAAGAAAACTCACAGGTTTCATTTACACTGGTACCAATCAGAAGGGATGGAGTCATTCACGTATTTAGTCGGCACGTTCTGAGTTACCAACCCTATGCTACGTACCATGCATGGTGCTTACGGTTCAGGGGAGAACCAGCCAGGCAGAGTCCCTGATGGTGACTGACAAGTCTGGACTCTTAAACAAACGGAGCGGTGTGGCGTCTAGGAGAATGTCTAAAGCTCTCAGGATCATAAAAAGCACTGAATGTAATCTCAAGTCTGAACAAACACGGAACAGTTTGAGAGACTCACAACCTGGACATAAGGCAGGACGCACGTCGTATTGTCTTTCCAGCATCAGAACTGGAGCGCCGTTTAATAAACGGACGGGCGACTTGGCTAGGAGAATCTCTGGCTTTATTTGCTCTTGACAGAAGGCCTGTACTCGATGAAGTCTAACATTATTAACTGTGGGCCTGTGATGGACAAGGATACAAGTGGCTTCAGGATAGTGGGAGATAAGCAACAATTACGTGATTCTGTCTCGGCCACGGGACTCCACCTCATCAATCCCCTTATCTCTAGGGTTCTGCTAATGATTTTTAACCAGTTTTACACATTCGCCTCTGCCACCTCATAGAGAAAGTCATAAGTGGGAGAAAAAAAAAAAAAACCTCTGTTGCATTTGGATGAGAGCCAAGAGTTTAACTTTGGGGAAATTATATTTCTGTGGTCTCTTGGTAGAACTTACAGTCATTAAAATCATAGTTTTGGAAAACTATGTCATGATTTGGGAAGTACTTTTAAAATGTGTGTGTGGTATGTTTCCAAATTCATCTGTATGTAGTCACAGGAAGACAAGAAGAGGGAAAGCAAAATATTAATAGTAACTGCTCATTTGGGGACCATAAGTCATTTTACTACCCGTGGATTTTTATTTCTTCCCAGGTCTACAGCCACTCGCCTGAGTGGTCTCTGGAACTCAGGATCCAGGGACTTCCTTGCCCTTTATACTTAATGTTAGAAGGAAAATCAAACTCCAACAAAAGGACGACCTCCCCTTCCTGTGCCTCGGTTTCCCTTTTGGTATAAGAGCTTTGAAAAAAAGGTAGACTGAAGCACTGAAGCACACGGGGGGGGGGGGGGACCCTTGGGTCAGGCTCTCTCGGGAGCTGGGGGATGCAGCCTGCCCAGCCGGTACCCCGGTGTCGCTAGCTTGGTTTGAAAATGCTGATGGTTGGTACAGCAAGCACCCCTCTCGAGTCAGCCCAGCCCCCAGCTGCTACAGCACTAAAGCTAAGCTCTCCCGGGTCAGAATGACAGAAGCCAGGCATTGCCCCTCCGGGACCCTCTCTTCCGCAAAATCCTAGGAGAGTCTCTGAGGGATGGGGCTCGGGAGGGAGAGTGTCTGGGAAAACAGTTGTGAGAAAACAGATATTTTCCAGCTTCCAAACTGGAAGTGCAGAGCCCATCCCCTTTCTTCACAGATGGGGAAACTGAGGCCAAGAGGAGGCTGGCGTTGGATGAGGTGGAAAGAGGACCCTTATTTCCAGAGTCAGGAGGTCTTTAATGTGGGGCGTACTATACATATCTCGATAGTGAACTTCAGCATACGACCTGCATGATGGGTGTGCGTGGCCCTTTGATGGTCTTAAAGTAGGGTCGCAGCCAACGGGGGATGCAAAGTGTACAAACAGAGATCCAGTAAACCATCCTATTCTAATCTCTTGGAAGACTGATTTTCTACCCCACTGCCATGCATTTGCCCCGCAGCAGGATCCCAGGGAGTGGCTCTCCCACCGATTGTGTGTAGGATGCTTGGGTGCTCCTCTGGGGATGCTCTGAGAGCAGCGGGCGCAAAATAGCGAAGAGAGAGAGGGAGAAAGAGAAGAGCAAAGTAGGAAAGATGGGAAGGAAATGGAGAGAGGATCCACTGGTTTTGGATTGTTCAGTGCGAGCACAGATTCACGACCTCCCATGGCTCACCACATGAGAACAAAGCCTGGGCTCCAAGGCTTGGGGGTGGCGGCAGCGCTCACGCCCCAGGGAGTGGCAGAGCTCTCAGGGATAGCGGATAGCGGTCGTGGAGCTCCAGGCCTGCAAGCGCGACTCCCAGACCCCCAGCTCACCCACCCCAGCCACCCTACGACCCTGCTGTGCGCTGCCACTTACTTGTCCATCCCAGCGGCCAGTGTAGCTGGAGGGCTGCGGTCAGCAAGCAGAACCGAGCGGCGCCCGCGCGCCCGGGCATGATAGCAATGGCCCTCTCACTGTCTGTGATCACACGACCCCTGCCATTGCCTGCCCCGGGCCTAGCCGCTGCAGCGCTTTTCAAGCAACCGCTGGCCTGAAAGCCTCCCAGTCCTAGTCCAGCAGCCCAGACGCTCCGCCCCCAGCCCCTCAGGGCTCAGCCTGGAGATCGAGGAGGGGAGGAGGCGCCACGCGGGGGTGGCTGAAGGGATAGAAGTGGGAGGAGCGAGTGAACCTCCCCCCCCCCCCCCCAGTCTCCCTGACTCAGGTGAAGGGCACCCAGGGGAAGGGATGTTCCAAATGAGTCCACTGTGAACTAGGAATGTGTTTAGGACTGAGGAAGCCCTGGGTTCCAGTCCCAGCACTTCAGAATTGTAGCAGTGTGGAGCACCACTGTAATCCTAGCACTTAGGGGGTAGAAGCCTGAGGATCCAAAGTTCAAGGTTATCTTTTGCTTTGTGAGTTCGAGGCCAACCTGGGCTACTTGAGACACTCTCTAGATTAACAATGATCATCAGCCTGGTCACCTGGAGCAGGTAGGTATTAGCATCTCCGTTTTTAAAGGAAGGAGAGGGGGAACAAACCTGCAAAAAACTAAGTCCCTGGCCGTTAGGGTCCTCATCTGCACTGTTACAAAGCCTTATTCAACCTGCCTTATTTGATGAACTTTGAACAGAAAGAGCGATAGCCAGAAGTGATCCATAAAAGATTGCTTAGTAAAATTTCAAGAGGAGGCGCTAAAAGCTGAGTCTGGCGCCCACACTTGTCTTTTCCTTTCCCCCAAACCTTTGGCCAGAGCCAGATACCATAAAGATGTCTGGTTGGGAACTCTGGAAAATGGTGGGTGGGCGGGATAACTGCAAAGATAGTTCACTGTGAGGGGATAAAAAGTGTAGTTCTTAACCATTGCCGGGGACAGGAACCGTGTGTGTGTTCTCCCAGCCTGCTGCGGTGGAATAGCAGATAGTGACTTAGGGAGTGGCGCTTGGGTCACCCAGGCAACCAATGGTACGACTGGTATGAGGCAGAAAAGAATTGTTTGACGGTCGTGAAAGCTGGAATTTCAAGCCCCGCTGTCATCTGGTCAGAATCCGATAACCTTTCTGCTTGTTTGTAAACAACTGTGTCTTCACCTGGCCCCTTCTCGGTCTGCACAGAGAGCAAGCTCTGGCGTCTTTGTCTCCTGAGGACGCCAATGCTCTGTGTGAACCCATCCCGGAGGACTCATTTAACCCTGTTGTTTTCTCTGTGAGCACCATCTCCACCCGCAGTCACACCAGGGCTGGGGTTCCAACACATGGGAGGGGAGCAACTTAATCCATCACACAGTGTCCTCTCCTTCCCCAAAGATCATGCTTTGCACATGCAAAACAAAAATGCAAAACAAACAAACCAACCAACCATTCACCCTCTCACTGGTGTGGATTGACAGTCCAAAATCTCATCTGAACAACGTCTCCCTTTGGGACGTCTGAGAAGGGTGTGGCTCATCCTTGAGCAAAACTCCACTGTGAGCCTGTGAAAGCTGGCGTAGTATGAGATTCCAAAATGATAGTATTTCAAAGGGAGCAAATAATAATAATAATAAAATGGGATGGCAGGTACCAAGGAGTGCAACAGTTTAGCCAGGACAAACTGGTTATCTGCCCTCTAGGTGACTTGGCACAACAGGATCATCCTTCAACCCCTTAGCTCTCTGCCAGAGCCACAGTGTGAGTGGAGGAAGAGGAGGAGATGACCTTGCCTCCTAAAACCCCCTTGCCCTGGGTTTGTGGGGGGAGTGGAAGCCCTGATCAACTCTGAAATGTCTTTAGGGCCATTCTTCCCATCTCTTCAAGGAGAAGCAGGTAAGTGACGGCCTTCCTTCATTCCCCGGCTGTACTCCTAGGATCCCCTCTGAGTTCCCAACTTCTCCTATACTGACTGACTGATTCCTCAAGGAATCAAGAAGGAGGGATTGTCCAGCCACAGTCTTTCAAAGTCCCTCCACCGTGCTCCTCGTTACTTACCGCTAATGAATAGGCTGAGAATGGGCCAAATCAGCAACTTCAGATTCCTTTTACAAATCCTTCCCGGTGTCTTTTGCTTGCATTTCAACAAGCAACCTGGAGAAATCAGGCTGCTTCACCTAGGACTCTCTCACAGCTAAGTACATTCCTGTCCCCACCAAAGGTCCCTGTGTGTGGAAGGCTTGGTCCCCAGCTGCTAGCACCACCCAGAGGCGATACTTCACAGGGATGCTAACTTCATCCCTGCCTTCATCTTTCCCAGTGGGCTATTGGGAGATCAGTCCTGCTTAGAGGAAGTAAGGCACGGGGGGGGGGGGGGGGGGGGGCTGCCTTTGAAGACTATCTTCACCCCAGCCTCTCTCTACTTTCTGACTGTAGAGAGCATGTACCCTTGTTACTTAGAGCAGAAGGGCCTGGCAAGATGGTGCAACAGGTTAAGGCACTGACCCTCAAGTCTGATGACCTGAATTTGATACCCAGGACCTACTTGGTACAAGGAGAAAACTAACTCTGTCAAGTGGTCCTCTATATTCTCATGATGGCACACACACACTCACACACACACACACACACACACACACACAGAGAGAGAGAGAGAGAGAGAGAGAGAGAGAGAGAGAGAGAAATTTTAAAAATGTAATTTCTTAAGAATTAAAAATTGAGAGTGGGAAGCCATGAAGAACTAACTGACCAAGCAGACAGGTTCTTATAGGAATCTGGTACCAAGTCAGACCACATGTGCGGGAAGACTGTGTGTAAGACTGTGGGGAAGAGTGTGCAAGTGTGCGTGAGATGGCTTTTCCTCTCCCTTTGCAACATCCAAGGCAACGTGTTGGACGCAGCATAAATTGGAGAATTTGAATCACAAGACAGACCTCAGAGTTTCCCTGGCGAACTTTCCCTGTGGCTTCTGAGGTCCATAAAATAAGTGATTAGCAGAAAAGCACAGCAGCCTTTGCAGAATAAGATGCTTCCGTTTACGGTTACCGTCAAGCTTGGGAGCACAGGGCCGCCGCTTAGGAAAATAAAACTAAATGTATTAAGAACTACAAAAGAGTAGACGAGACGTGTGGAGACACACACAGTGTTCCTAGAAAGAAAAACTTTTCTTTCATTCTGTAACAGGGTCTCATTAGCCCAGGCTGGCCTCAAACGTGGTCTTAAACTTCTGTTAAACTTCTGATCCTCAACCCTCTACCTCAAAAGTGTCATAATTACAGGTGTGCACCACCACTGCTGGGTTTATTCAGTGTTGGGGATCAAACCTAGGACCTCATGTATGGTAGGCAAGCCCTCTACCAGCTGAACTCCATCCCTAGTTTTCCCCTTAATTCTTCATTAGAAAAACGTTTTAAACAAACAGAAAAACTGAAGAAAAAATAGTATAATATGGGACTAGGGAAGAGGCTCAGTGGGAAAAAGTCCTTACTCTGTTGCTTGAAGACCTGAGTTCAAATCCCTGGGCACGAGAACTGGAAAGACAGCTTGCTAGTTAAGAGCCTGCTGCTCTTCAGAGTTCAGTTTTTGAGATCTACGGGCTTGTCACTGTCTGTGCTCCAGTTCCAGGGGATCTGACGCCCTCTTCTGGCATCCACAGGCACCTGCACATTTTTGCCATTTTCTCACACAAACACAAACACAGAAAGAAAAATAAATCTTAAAAAGAAAAAAACAAAAGCAGGCATAGCTGCATGCTGGTGACCCCAACGCTGGGGTTGGGAGGGGTGCGGAGAGAGGTAGGTCCCTGAAGTTCACTGGTCAGCTAGCACAGTCACAGTTCAGTGAGAAATCCTGTCTTAAAGGAATAGAGGAAGACTGTCAACCCCTCCTCTGGTCTACACATGGTGTACACAGAGAGACATACAGACACCAGAAAATACGTAAACAGATAAACAAGATAATAGTACCACAAACACGACTACATCCACCATGCACACACACACCAATTGTTCCTTTAAAAAAGGGTTTGAACCTTAATAGTTCATAAAAAAGAACTAAATTTAAAAGTAGCTCAAAAGAGATGGTGGAATGGTTAATGTACAAGTTTGGAGCCAGAAGCGGGGTCCTTTAGAACTTCCCGTGCCATACTGACACAGGAACAAGTCGACTTGCAACTTCTGCGCCTGGAGGGCTTGCCATTTCTTTGTGAAGAATGTCCGTTCTGGGACTGGAGAGACGGTCGGTCGAGAGGTTAAGAACACCTACTGTTGTTGCAGAGGACCTGGGTTCGGTTACCAGCACCCCACATGATGGCTCATAGTTGTCTCTAACTCCAGCTCTAAGGGTTTCGACACTCTCTTCTGGCCTCTGGGGACACTAGGCTTCTGGCAGTGATGTGAATACATATATACAGGTGAAACATCCCACACACAGAAAAAATAAAATTGAAAAAATTGGGTATGGCCATCTTAGGAAAGAGAGTATGTGCTATTGATCAGGAACACCGCTTTCCCATGTAACACCTAACTTAGTAATTATATTTCTGGGAAATGATCCTAAAAACAGCATATTCTGAAGTTTGCTCACAGATTTATGGGCCAAAATGCTCATAGTGGGTTATTTATAATGGCAACAATATCGGAAACAACCTGAAGCTCCAACTCTGGAGGAATGTGTCGTAAATTACACAATTCCCATATGATGGATTATTACACAGCTGCTTAAAATGTCGAGGGTTTGTGCTCTGGAGTTCAGGGAGAAAAAATGCGAGAAGCAAAGTTATACCCAAGCAGAGCCCCAGTTATGCAAAAGAAAGACATTTTTTAAAAGGCTGGAAAGACTTGTACTAACATGTTAGTGTGGTCTTGTCTGTGTGGAGAGAGGGTGAAAGTGTCTGTTCTTGATTTTTAATGTGTGTGTGTGTGTGTGTGTCTTTAGTGATTAGGGAATAGGTAGATTGTAAATACAAAAACAATGCAAGAAAAGGGTCAGTCTCTCACATATCATTTGACTTTTGCTTATGTTTGGGGACAGGACACTTCAAGGTAAGAAAATAGCCTCAACCCATCTAAAACCCACAACATGGTCAGTAGCCCTATATCCCTAAAGAGAGCCTTTTGGGCCCGTCTCCTTAAAAATGTAAACAATTGGGCTTCAAGTTGAATCCTGA